GGGTTTCCCACTGAAACTAAAGCTTGCCTATTGGGCAGTTTAAAACTGGGCTGGTTCCAAGGAGTCTTCTGTCTCCACCTCCCCAGAGGTATTGTAGACACCCATTTCTGTTTTTGGCTTTTTTCATGTGTTTGGGTCCTAAATGTAGAATTTTATGCAAGCACATTACTAACCGAGCTACCTCCTCAGTCCCCACCTGATGAAACAGAGAACCATTATTAAGCCTAAAGACTTCTCCTTGACCCAAAAACTTGCAGTGGCAGTCCAAGGTCACCACGATGGGTACAAGGACGTGTGTGTGTGTGTGTGTGTGTGTGTGTGTGTATCCTCTGGCCTGTGGATGATCTGTTGACTATTCACCACTCTCCTTCTCATTCTACTAAAGGTCTTGGATCTTACTGTTCCCTCTGTTTACACTGCTCCTGAGATCCTATATCCCCAACTGCTCCCCTCCCCCATCATCTGTGGTCCAATTCCTTGTCACCCTCAGCTCTGTTGAAGTGTCACCTTCTTGCTAAATTACAGCCCAGACTTGTTTATCATCTGTCTCTTCGAAGGGCCTAGCACCATGCTTGCAGATAGCACCCTGGCAGCATTTGGTAGATGGCTGACTACAAAAAAAAAAGCATCTTGACTTGGTGGTCTACCAGATGCCAGCTTGTTTGTTCAGGATGTCTCCTGTATTGCCCCAGTGATGTCAGCAGGCACACATGATTCTTATTGCTATTTGTACTTTTTAAAAGAAAAAATAAATTAGCTAAGTGGGAAAAAATGTAAAAGGTACTAAAAATATTAGAGGCTAAAGCATGGTGTTATCAGAATAGCACTTTTCACGGTCCCCAAATTCTGGGGAGTGTAATTAAAGAAGCTGAGCCCTTGTTCTCAAGGACCTCAGAATAATGCTATAAGAGGGAGATAACCAGGTATCTCTGCTTGTTGAAGAGTTCACATGTTATACACAGATAATAGCTATGTCTCCTGGTTGTATACACAGTTCCTGTTGCTTTGCCTAGTTACTTTTTTAAAGAACAGTTCATATTTTGTCACTGATGACCAAGCAAAGTTACTAAAACTTATTTATTCATTAGTTCACCTCTCCACACACTGCATGCTCTGCCTAGCAGCTGCCCAAATGACAAAACAGTGCATTAGAGTAAATCTGGTAAAAAGATACCAGACTGATACCAGACAGGACCAAGCCTATCCTGCCACTTACCTCTCCAAGTCATCTCATGTGTCCCATAGCTTATAACACCATCTGGAGGCCATTCACTCCTGTGGGATCAGTGGGAGTCTGGGAAGGAAAACAGTCCATGCTGGGAAATGCAAGGGAGAATGTAGTCACTTGCAAACATGTCAGAAGAGTTATAAGAGTCAACTGGGGAAAGTGATTAACTAGACAGTAAGTCTGAAAGTTGCTACCTTCTCTGGGACTAGGGAGAAGGTAGGAAGTAGGTTCTGACAATTAAATAATCAAACAAGCTGGGCCCGTATAATAGAACTTGCCTAGTTGGAATTCAAACCATAAGGAAGCTGTCTTAGTGCTAGAGAAAGTCCCATAACAGAGGAGAGGCAAGGCTCGCTAGCTTTCTCGCTTCTAAAATTATTTTTAGATATTGATTTTTATTTTAAGTCTCTTATTTTCATTTCAAATCCATTTCTTTGATTTACCCACTGCCTATCCATGAATGTCTAATAATAATTTGTCTAACATAATTTGACCTGGAAGAATTCCTAGCAGTAGGCACACCCCTTCTTCACCCATGGCTCAGCCTTCTTAGATATTTTATTTCCTTTCTTAGCTTTCCTTATTCCCTGTTCTTCCAAACTTTTGGCAACACCTGGTAGTTCCAACTCTCCAAACAATAAAATACCTCTCCATTTAGACTGCTCCATTTCCAAAGTCACTACATTTCTCTTGAGAAGATATTAATGACCTCCTAACTATACCCATGGTGTCTACTTACACACATGCAGGGAGAAGTTCTGTTAGGTCTTGAGGTCAAGGTAATCAGCAGGGGCTTTATTGTAAGCCTGCAGAGGCCGTTGGAGTTTAATGAGGCCAATCTATCTTCCCTGAGGAGAGTCATATATAAGACAGCAAACACTGGAAGAGAGACCAGCTAGGAAGTAATTCCATGTCTCAGCCTCCTTCTCTCACTCTTTCTCACTGATTCCTCCCTCTCAACAACTCATTTGGAATCCCTGTTCCTCTAACAGGCCAAGTTCACCCCCTTTCCATGGCTTTCCCATAGCCTGGAAAGTCTGATTGTTCTGGTTTTAGCACACTTGAATCTGTATTCCCAAGGCCTTGCCCTCTGGATCTTTTCTGACCATAGTATTCATGACAGCTCTACACATCTCTCTCCTTTTAGCCACAAAGTAGGAGTGTAAGTCTCTGTTTCCTGAACCTTAAGTATGGTATACAACTTGATTTTGAAAAAAAAAAGAAAAAGAAAAAAAAGAAAATGGAAAACATTGGGGTGAAAAGACACATAGCCCTGCTTTGGCCCTTTTCATTCTACTCCACAATTGCCCATGGTTGAGATAATGGCTACTCCAAAGGCCAGAGCCCTGGAGTAAGGGCAGCAATTGTCTAAAGCAGGATTTACCAGTTTATCTGGAGCTAGCCATCTGTTGTGGGGCATATCTCCACAACCCTAGCACGAGAGAGTTTAAGGTAGGAAGACTCATAGGAGGAAGGGTAAGGTAATCTCACTGCACAGGGAGTTTGAGGCCAGCCTTGGCTGTATATGACACTAAAAATGAACAAACAACAATAATAAAACAAACAGACAAACAAAAAGCAAAAGAAATTGTTTGATGCTTGAAGTGACTGAGACTTTGAGATCTTTACCACAGCATACCTAGTACCTCCCTATTCTTAGTCCTTCAGACTGGATCATGTCTGTGGTAGACATTAACACACTTGTTAACTTCATATACATTTACTGACTTAATCTGTCTACATCAGTCATCACTGTGTCCCTAACTTCCTGAAGTGTCCTATGCAGTCAGCAAGCAAATATTTGTTGACTGAACTTTCAATTGCTTGCAAAAACTAATTTTTACTTCAACAAAATGGGATCCAATGAATCCTGAGTTCAGTATGCTGTAAGTACCAAAGCCTAAGTCTTTATTTTGCAAATATCAAGATGGACTGACAGCTTGGGTTACAGCCTTCCAGCCAGCTAACAGGAAATCAAATTGCTTCCAATACCACCAGGATTCTTTGGTTAGAAAAGGGCCTGCTTCAGAGCATAGGGAACAAGAAATGAGACCTTAAAATCCTTAGAGGAGCATCACCCCAGTCAGAAGCAGGTGGGACAAACTACATTTGAATGCTATTTTTACTATTAATTCTATCTGTTTTAAAGTTTTAACTTCTACTTTAGTTTTAAAGCATGGCCTAATCTAATTTCTCGGAAAAGACCAAGTCTCAGATTTCACAATTAGTATAAGATAGTAATACTGAACAGGGCTTTATCTAATCACTTTAATATAGAGCAACCACTTTTCATTTGTTTTAACTGAAGTTCACTGGAAACTGCTAAGGATCTCACAGTTGCTTTCTAGAGACTGAGAGGGGAGAAGTTCACACTAGACATTGTCCTTGTTTGTTTGTTGGCTTTCATGTTGATGGATGGTGAGTATATAACCCAGGGCCTTTTGTATGCATACATGACAATAAAGGCAAGAGATCTATTAAAATCTGCCAGAACTTAGACCCAACCCCAGTACTTCAACCCTACCCTAGACTTTGTTGTGGGGATGTGTCCTTTCTGTATTGCTCAACCTGGCCCCACATTCTTTGACTGGCATGATTCCCCTGACTTAGTCTCCAATGTAGCTGATCTTGTAGACATATGTCATCCACATATTGTAAAAAATACACTGCTTCTTCTCTCTTATTTAACTGTAATAAGATTTAAAAGACCCCACTTACCAGATTAGTTTGCTTTGTGTTACTGTGATAAAACACTGACCAAAACCAACACAGACAGGAAAGGGCTATTTGGTTTATATTTCCCTATCATAGTTCATTATTTAGGGAAATCAAGGCAGGGACTCAAGCAGAAACCTGAAGGCAGGAACTGGAGCAGAGTCCATGAAGGAGTGGTCTTTACTGGCTTGCTCCTCATTGTTTTCTCATTTGCATTCAGTGGTGGCCCCATCCACAGTAGGCTAGGCCCTTCTACATATGATTAATCAAGAAAATACCCACAGAGACTTACCTATAAGTTGACCTATGGAAGCATTTTCTCAGTGAAGGTGCCCTCTTCCCAAATGGCCCTAGTTTGGATCAAGTTGGCAAAAAATTAACCAGCACCCCAAACTAACCTAGTGATATTTTTAGTTTTTTGTTCCTCACTTAAAAATTTTTCTTGAATTTTGAATATGCCTAAGATTTAGAAAAAATAAACACCTAAGAACTATTAAGTTATTTTTAGGGCATTTTAGTTTCTTTAGGCTGTCTGTATAAGATACCTATGCACTGCTTAGTTACAATTCTATCTACACCCTATATCAACGGTACTGACTACAGTATATCTTCAACAAGGGCACTGCATCAAAGTGGTAAATGGTGTTCCTAGATATAAGTTCACTGGGCATGTGACGGGAAGTTATCAACTATTAACTTTGAGGGCAGTTTCTGTATTGTTTCAAGTTCAAGTGCCTTTTACCTGTAATGAAAAGTTTTATTTATTCTTTAGTGTGTTCTTCCCATTTGCCAACCATGAGCTCAAAACAGGGCAGTGCGAATGCTTCAGTCTCTCAAACAAAAAAGCAATACTCACACAGGGAGTTCATTCACATGTGGTTTAAGAAGCAGGAAATACCACACTGGCTTTAATATTTATATTCTACCAAAAATTTTCTGAACTCAGTAATGACTACTAACAGTTTTTATGATATTATTTACTGTGTCTTAAAAGTTTAAAAAAACAACACTAAGCAGAGAGCATACAAGAAAACTGGATGTGAGTCTATACAATGAATTACTTTCGGCACGACAGACTTTATTTTGGCACTTTAACAAATTTGCTTTACAGCAGTGACAAAATATTTGCCAGGAATTTTTTCCCCAGCATAGATATTCCAAGCAAGTTATTCTACAAATAGAATTCCACTGTTTCGCACAATTAGAGGTATACCCACTACATTCTCAGCCTCTGTGATTGAGGGGCATTGTGCAGCTTTGGAAGGGCCCATCATTTCCTTTTAATCCTAAACAAGGTGAATTACAGCTGTAATTGGACAGAAACTTAGGAATTAAGGTCATTAAAGGATTCAGACACAACACTGTTCCAAGTGTTACTTTAGTTTTGTTTGAATGAGTTCTGTGACAAGCTCAGGGAAGGTGCTCAAACATAGTCAAACTTTATCAAAAGTTAATTTTATGCTGGAAAAGTTGCGGTTCTTGCTGTCTTCTTTCTACTTCCATGGCTCACAGTTTAAAACTAAAAATTAATGGTAAAATAGAAAATAGAACAGAAAAAGGAAAAGCTCTGTTCAGTGAGAACCCAACAGGGGTACCCCTCCCCCCATACCTCCATCTCCTCCTCTGGCATTACTTTTTCTAAGTAATCCATCCTAAGTAGCCAGGCTGTTATTTTACATGCAGAGCCTCCCTCCCCTTCCCTCCTGCCGCAGGGAGTGGCTGTGGTCTTCTCTCACAGGGTTCTTCTGCAGGGGAGTTTTGACAGGTAAGCAATTCTATAGGTATCCCAGATACCTACTTCTAGAAAGGTCCCTTTGCTTCTTTGGAATTTATACTTTTAAGAGTAAATTACAAAAGAAGGCATCTGTCTCAATATTGTCAGTAGCTTCACTACAAAGGTTGCAAACCTTGAAATCCCTTAGCAGTCATCCTATCCCTGCACCCAGATACATGCAGGATAATACATACATTTCCTCTGACCAATTCAGAGGTAAATCTGGTAATAAACAGCCTCACTAAGGGGCTCTTTGGTCTTGACTTACAGACACCATGGGATGCTCAGAAATCAAACCCACATAGTCACTGAGAGCAGACAGTCAGTCATAGCAAAGGGGAGATGTACATTTGATAAGAAATGTACAAAATTTATAACAGTGACATTTTCAATATTAGGCCATGTGATTTATTCAGTAGTTTGTTTGTTCCCAAATTACAATTTATGTCTATTCATAAGACTACAAAAGTTAGCATTAGAATTTTCTGTGCTTATAAAATACCAACTTTTTTTTAAATTGTTATATATACTCATTGACACCAGTCTGCAACAAGTTACATAGAATTATAGGCACTTCAAAGGCTTAAAAAGATGTTAACAACTTAAATTCATATTTAAGAAAAAAATCTGATCTTTTTTTCTTTAAACTCTTTCTTGTACCTTCAAATTGCAAGAAATTAACAAGTACAGTGGCCAAAGGAATCTGCAGCAATTTCTCAAAATACTGTTAGCATCTTTGGGTTTGCTGAGGCTTGTCAGTTATGTCAAATCGTCCCAAAAGAAGATCTGCTTACATAGCTAGGACTAAACAGTTTCGTAGTAATAATCCAATTTTACACATTAATTTGCCTTTGCAAATCTGCCTGAAGCTATAGGTAATGAAAATTAAAGCAAGTGTAAAATGGATAGTCTGACATTTAAAAAATTACATAAAGTGGAGGTTAAGGTTAACATATTTGAAAAAATTCACATATACACTAAATTACCATCATTGTAATCATTCAAAGACAAATTGCACCATGACAGCTACAAAAGGCATAAGGTTTTGTTTTTAAGGAAGGGGACAAGAAGGGAGGGCAGAAAAGAGGGACAAGAGATAAATTAATTAATGCAGACCAACTCGGTAAGGTCAACTGGAGACCTGCTGACAAGGGGAACAGCAGTCATCTTTGAACCAGAGGACAAACACAATCATTTTGTATTTGCACATAGATGTTCAAATCAATTCCATGAATGTCAAGGGTTTTTGTAACATAATATTTTGCCACTGCTATTCACAGAACACTGCAGATGTTAAATTTTTACTTTTATGTCATTCTAAAGAAATACATGAAAATACAATGGGATTTTCATCATTAAAGGGCCAGTATGGCTCTGTAATGAACAAAACAGATAACAAAGATCTTCATTATTCTATGCCAAAGCTTTATTTTGAAAAGTTCAGTGATCTCCTAAATAGAGACACTAAGTGGGAGCTTTATGCATAAAACTCCTTAGTGGGTGCTTTCTGGTAAGCTGCGCTCGATGGTTTGCGTTCTCCAAGGTCGTAGCTTCCTTCGTCTTTCTTCCTCATGCGGTATACCAACAGCAGGATGAGGAAAATGGCAAAGAGAAAACCGATCACACCACCAGCAATTACAGCTGAGACAAGAGAAGAAAAAGAGAAGGGTCAAGATTTTCTGGAATTAGTTTGGCCAGTTCCAATCTATTGATATTTTTATAAACAATTTGAGAACTCAAGTTTTAAAAAGAATAATCTAGAGTCACTCTTCAGAAGGTACATTGTATCAACGCAAAGCTTGCAAAGTTTTCCATAAGAAAAATCCAGCTGTAACTTCACCTAATTCTACACTTTCAGATACTTGTGTTTGGCGCTTGTATTTTATAGAGTAATCTTCAAATCACAATGAAAGCACAAAACATGATATAATAGATTTTTTTAAAATGAAGAGGAAATACAAAAAGCATGCAGATGTCTACCTATTCTTGAATCTGAGGAGACGCTTGCATAAATTAGGTGTCATTAAATCTTTCATATCTTCCTCTTTAAAACAAGCATCAGTACAGGCTTCAGTGGCATCTCTTTTCAGAAATATTCAGAATCAGGAGGGTTTCCATGTATGGACTTTTTTTTGATTTTTAAAAATATTTACATACATGGAATGAGTTATTAGGGATCACATCCAAGTCTTAACATGAAATATATTTATATTTTCATATATAGTTTATACACATAGTTCAAAGGAAAACTTTCAGAAGTTAACAAATAATTCTGTTCATAGAACAAGGTTTATGTAGTGTCCTCCTGTTTTGGGTGCAACCCATTCTGAGCACAGGAAATGGAGCATCCCACTTGTACCATCATGTCAGGGCTTAAAGCATGTTGGAGGTTTGGAATTTTCCAGATACTCAGGTCTCTGAGGCTCAACCTGTACTTTCATCAGGTGAATTTTAATCAGAGGCAAAATCCTTATCATGGCAGCAGCAGCAGCTGTGCCTTTTCCTTCACTGAAGTTGGGTCTGAACTCCAGAGATTACCTGAACCATGACTGTCTGACTGGCATCTCCTACACGCAACAGATCCTGGCCTGTCCAATTTACTAATTCAAGCTCCTGCCACTTTGATGTCCTTGTCATGGTGGACTGTAAACTGAAATTGTCTCCCACTGTAACCTCTTCTCAATGGCTGGCTGAGGGATAGACTAGGGGCATTGAGAGAAGATAGACAAAGTAGTCCTAGCCTCTCACCTGTCATTCTGAAATAAAAACTGAATGCCACCTATCCCAGGAAGGCCTCTTTAAATTCCTTCCCACTTGGCATTGCTGGCAACTCACCTGCTAGAACTTCTGTCCGTTTAAACAGATTGTCTGAATGTTTCTCGGTGTACACGTCTGTGCTTTTTACAGCAGGGCCCAGCTTCTCTTCTGCCTCAGAGATATCAACTTCCTCCTTGTCAGTTTCTTCAGGTGACTAGTGTGGGCAAGAAAAAACCACAAATATCTCTCTTTCAATATGTGCTGGGAAGAAGAAACAATACTAAGTATATTCTTAATTTTCTTTCTATTAAAAATCAGTTTAGTAAATATCATTAATAATAATGTGTATGCTGTTTATACGCCAGTTGTTGAGGTCCTAGTTTCGACCCATGTAGCTTGTGGGTCTGGTATCATGGAAGCAAAGATGTGAAGTTAATGAGTTCATAATATAAGAATGACAAGAATGATATGCATAGTTGTTTTAGTTGACAATTCTCAGAATCTTTACATTCTGGGCTGTGAAGATTGCCCCAGCATTAAAGTATTTGCTTGTTTGCAAGCATAAGAACCTGAGTTTGTCCCCTTGAAGTCCCTTGTTGAAGCACTGTGTTGAGGACATGGTGGAATCCCAAGGCTCTGGCCAGCTTGTTAAGTGTAGGCCTCTCTCTCTCTCACACACACACACACACACACACACACTTTTGAGTATTCTGTTCACTTGGTCTGCTGATGTTAATTGTCATTGAAAGTCCCTCAGATGATAGTATGGTTTGAGAAGCCCTGATTTAGAAAAGTTAGATTCCAATAAGCTGCTATTTTCTAACAGGTGAATTTCTTTCTCATTGTCTAACACTACTGATGGGAAAACATTGTCAACTCTTTTAAGCTGTCTTAGTTAGGGTTTCTGTTGCTGAGGCCAAACAACATGACAAAAAAGCAAGTTAGGGAGAAAAGGGTTTATTTGGCTCACACTTTCATATTGCTGTTCATTCTTGAAGGAAGTCAGGACAGGAACTCAAACATGGCAGGAACCTAGCAACAAGAGCTAATGGAGAAGCCATGGAGTGGTGCTGCTTATGAATTGGCTTCCCCTGGCTTGCTCAGTTTACTTTCTTATAGAACCCAGGACCACCAGCACAGGGATGGTAACACTCACAGTGGGCTGGGCTCTTCCCCAATGATCACTGACTGAGAAAATGCCTTATAGCTGGATCTCATGGAGGCAATTCCTTAACTGAGGTTCCTTCCTCTCTGATGACTCTTGTGTCAGGTTGACACAAAACCAGCCAGTGCAAGCTATAAAGTCAGTAGACAATGAGTCTTCTCCCTATCCCAGTTTTTCCTATGAATTCCCAGCCATCTTAACCAGAGTAATGTGTATCATTCAGTTGCTTTGTGAAGTCTGGAATACATCCTAGTAAAGAAGGCAAAGATCTAAGAAAATAGTTCGTTATCTTGGACTGCCTCAAAGTCATCTTTACGCCTAGAAAAGACCACAAACTAGACAAAATGGATTCACTTGGACTCTAGTGATCAATGGGAATCAATGAGTGTTCCTTTCACTCAGAACACACGAGGCTTCCACCAAACACAGTAATAACATGTGACAGAGTCATTTTTCCGCAAGATACAAGAAACCCTATACTTCATAAATCTTTAGCTGCCATAATTTTCATAAATTATAATTTTTATCACTGCATAAATATAAAGTCAAGTTTCACTGTTTTCTGTCTGAGTATAGAAGAAAACATGGTCAGTTTTCCTAAGACTTGCTGTGTCCAAGGAAAGCAACTGAGAGAAGCCTGCTGGTGGTACTTTGTAGGTTCTCTCCAGTTTCTTCTTATAGGATTCCCATCGGTAACTGGTTGTCTGGCAGAGAGGACGCAGATCAGAGAATGGCTTATCTGAGTCCTCATCAAGGAAGCACATGCTTTCTTGCTCATTAGCATTGCTTTGGTTGCTATGCTTTTAGAAGTTGGTAAAGGGGAAAGAAAAAAAATCAAGAAGATGGAATGATACCCATGTGCATCCAGGGAAAGAGGTGAGTGAACACTGTAGGAAATGAGAACGATACTGACGATTTGGCCCCTAGTTTATGTAATGCTTACCATCATTACTCTATTAAGATAAGCCACAAGGCTCTACCTGTTGTTAAGTCCCTACAGTCATTTAAGAGTTGACTTGCTCTGTTCCCTTTGACTCAACTTCTGAATAAAAGGGACACAAAATAATTCATTCCAGTGAGGATCTAGAAGGCTTTTAACAGAAATGGTGCTTAGATGAGTGGTTAGTTAGTATATAAGCCTCAAGGTGCTCTAGACAAAACATTTATAAAGTGAAATTCTCAGTTAAACAGAAGAAGCACAGGCTCTATGCTCCCACAATGTAGAAACTACGACCCAATATGTAGTCAGTCTGAAACAGCTCTCACATGTATGTCTGTAATTATGAAAAGGGAACATGCATAATTCAATGAAGGCAACTTAAAGGTTATTGCATCAATGTTTGAATTCTAGGAACTGTGGAAAAAATTAGGCTCCACAGAAAGAAGGAAGGGTTCTTTCTATTCTTCAGTCACATAGCTGTACAACACAGTGGATAGAATATCTATACATATGATAGTAATGCCACTGTGAGACCTATTAAAACACAAAACTGTCACTAATGGCAAGGTTTAATCTAGCTGTACCATGTAACTATAGAACAGAAAGTTACATTGCTGCTACTGTTATTCATCACCATTATCTTCATCATGGGCACCTGGAACAGTGTTTGATGTACACTGAATAAAACTCCCAGGAATAGATGAATTCTTGCCATCTCATTAAATAGAACTAAAAATAAAATATTTGCATTAAAATGTTCAGGAATCTCTAATTTCTAAATTCACCTACCAAATGTCTGTTAAAAGCCAATTTGTTGTGTTTTAGGGCCAATTTCTACAAACTTAAATCAATTTTCAATCCTTACTTGTCAATAGTCCATAAATTTATATCAAACTGGGGTTTGTTTAGGATAAAACTATTGAACATTTAAAGCCAAAACTTCCCATAGAGAGTTTGACTCTGAGATATTGAGTCTTAATGGTCACTGAGTTGAAAACATTGTTATACGAGATCAAGTAAAACTCTGAGAGAGACAAAGTTCATCTCTCCACAGGCACACAAACTTCATTTAGTTCTCCCACACTTGCCTGCTCTGACCACTTAGCAACCCTACCATCAACAGACCTGCTGCTTTTTGTTTCTTCTCTCCTCATCTCTTTTATTCATTCAACTTAGAAAACAATGGAACAGCTCCCAGAAAATGCTAGGTATGTCTGCCCCAGTTTTCACAGAGTATCTCCTTGCCTTCCTCTTTCCTCGCTGCGGGATGGCTCTGCTGTCAATAGTGCCAATGCCTGTTAAGCCTAGAAAGAGCATGTTAATCCACACAGAGCTGAGCTCTTGGCTACTGCATGTCTGGAACGTTGTGCTACGACTTTACGGTCCCATGAGTCAGGAAAATCAAGAAAGAGGAGGAACAGAGTACTCTACTGAGTAAGAAAACACTGTCTGTGTTCCTGCTAGCGTAGGGGTGCTTCTTATACCACAAAGACTGCCACAAAACCTGCATGCTGCAAGATCTTGGCAGCATCTTATTTGTAAATCAGTTTTCATAAGCAGCATGCCGTCTCAGAAGTGTGTAAAGTTGACCACTAAATTATTACACATGCTCACTTGAGGAACCAGCTTGATCTCCTCTGCTCCACCAAATTCAAGTAACATTTACAAAGTGAAATGAGGAACCAGGTCTCGGGTACCTGATACATAACATTCACATCCAATCTTTCTAATGATCCAAGAAATTTGAGTAGATACAGGATTCAATGCTTAGGCCCTCCCTGAACCCTACTATCCAATTTCCATATTAAACAGCTGAGTGTTAACATTAAGTCAGTGTTTTCATTGCCAAGGTGTTTTCCCTGTTCTAAGTCCAGTGGTCTCATTCTTGTTAAGCTCTCACAACAAACAACTGCAGCTACCCCAGATACATGTGTATCTGAGAGCAGATCGAGTGTATGCAACACCGACAGTGGGTGTAGACATTCATTGAGACCATAAGACAGGACCCAGAACCTTCCTTCTTAACCTGGTCCAATGGATCCAAAGTTTGCAATGTTTTTAATATGAGGAAAAAAATCTGACTCTCAGCTAAGTAGCTTAAGAGTTTGCTTTATAACTGGGCTAAAGAAGTTCTGCAAAGAAAAGTGCCTTGTTAAAAACAGTATAGTTCTAAGGAAGGTAGGCCTAGCTGGTAAGAACAGTAAGCAGGTGAACTGTAAAATATTGGCAGAGAGAGCAAAGAACCATTTACAGCTATAGAGTGGAAAGGCTATTAGCCCCGATATAATTTTATGTGGGCCCTCTCTCACAGAGAACTGTTCTATGCAGTCAAAAGACAGCAGTATTCACAATGCCAGGCAATGCACCTCGGTCTGAGCAGGTGTTATGCTTTGTGTCTTCAATGTCATGGTTTCCACTTTGGGAGCAGCACTAGTGAGTGAGATCCTTGGAATCAGTCGGGATGTTGTCAGATCTGGACTTTCTACATCTTCATCAGCTCCTAGGAAAAAAGTGGAGATGAGTTGATCATGTGACTCACGACTCAGGTTTGTGCATTGTCAGGCAGTATCGCACGATGTTGATTCAGAATCCTGCTCTCAAGTTGCCAGGCTTAAGTTTCTAGCACAGATCAACCTATGGTCTTCAGGAAGTCTGCAGGGCCCCTGGGAATATGGTAATATTTTTTCCAGTGAGAAAGAGTGTTAATCCAGACAGTGCTGAGTTCTTGGCTACTGCATGTCTGCAGGGAGCCACCCTTGAACCCTTCCCAATAGCCCTGCTTCTCCTGCATGTTCAATCTCTTCCTTTATGTCATGTTTTTGCCATCTCAAAACCCAGAACTACTCAAAACATGAAAAGTGTAAACTCTCTGCTACCTGACTGCTTATCTCATGGTGAGCTTCTGTCTTCTCTAACATTTTATAGTCAACCTTCCCAAAGACTGTGTGCTGTAGTCCTTCACCAACTCCTGTCCTCCCCATGCCCTCTCTCTGCCTGTCCCTGCCATCCACTACTGACACTTTTTGTTAAGATCATCAGTGTCTTCCAGGTTGGCACATCCAATGGCTTTATATTTAAACTCACTTAAAGGGCCCTTCTTGTATTGGTTGGATAAATGTCCCCCACAGCCCATGTGCTAGACTGGCTATCAACTCTTCATGCTATTGGAAGATAGTGAAACCTTTAAAACAATGATTCTCAACCTTCCTAATGCTGTGACCTTTAAATACAGTTCCTCATGTTGTGGTGACTCTCAACCATCAAATTATTTTGTTGTTGCTTTATAGCTGTGATTTTGCTACTGTTATGATTTGTAATGTAAATATTTGATATGCAGATGTGTGATATTTAACCCTCAAATGGTTTGTAACACATAACATAAGAACTGCTGCTTTAAAAGGTGAGGCTTCCAGGAATATCAGTCCCTAGGTTAGTCCCTTCAACAGGATACTGTGAGCAAGACCTCTTCCTGTGTCTCTTTAATTAACTGACCCTCACGAGACACTCCAAGCAGGATGCTTTGCCTGGCTACAGGCTCCAAAGCAACAGGTCATTCTACCATGGACTAAGGCTTCACACCAGGGAGCCAAATAATATTTCCTCTTCATTAAGTTGCTAATTTTAGATATTTTGTTATGGTAATAGAAATCTGACTAACACATTTCTATCACCATTGAACACTGTGAACTGCCACGTCTTGATACACTCTATTTCTTTGACAGTTTACAACTTCCCAATTTTCTTCTACTTTTGTATAAACAGATATATTTATCCTCCTCCACTAAAATGGCAGATAATAAGTTCCTTTTATGGCTAAGCTCTAGTCCTCCCCTTTTAAGAAGTTTTGTTGTGTGCATATGTGTGCATGCTTGAGCACCCACCAGGGCCTGTGTTTAATAACAATGCTTTCTCCTTTTGCTATTCCCCACCCCAAGTTCATAGGTTGGAAATGTTGTCTCCACTACAATAGTAAAAAGGGACATTAAGGAGATGGTTAGGTAAGGAGAGTTCTATCTGCCCCTGTGAATGAATTAATATCTTATAAAAGAAGCCAGTGAGAACTTGTTTGCCTATTCTATCAAGTAAAAATGCAGCAAAAAGGTATTACCTCTGAAGCAGAAAGAAAACACTCACATATGCCACATCCACTGAAGACTTGATCTTTGACTTTCCAGCCTACACAACTCTGACCAATATACTTATGCTGTTTTTAAACTTACCCATTCAAAAGTATTTTGTTATAGTATTCTAAACGGATAAAGATGATTTGGAACATGTTTTACAAATAAAATATTTATAAATATTTCCAACATGGAAGACACTGATGATCTTAACAAAAAGTGTCAGTAGTGGATGGCAGGGACAGGCAGAGAGAGGGCATGGGGAGGACCGGAGTTGGTGAAAGACTACAGCACACAGTCTTTGGGAAGGTTGACTATAAAATGTTAGAGAAGACAGAAGCTCACCATGAGATAAGCAGTCAGGTAACAGAGAGTTTACACTTTTCATGTTTTGAGTAGTTCTGGGTTTTGAGATGGCAAAAACATGACATAGAGGAAGAGATTGAACATGCAGGAGAAGCAGGGCTATTGGGAAGGGTTCAAGGGTGGCTCCCTGCAGACATGCAGTAGCCAAGAACTCAGCACTGTCTGGATTAACACTCTTTCTCAATGGAAAAAAATGAATGAACAAAATGAATGAAATTTGGAAACACAGATAAAGGAATGAAAGGAAGTGCCTCCCCATTATAAAAAGGATTTATTTATTTATTTATTTATTTATTTATTATTTACTGAGGTGTTCCTAGAATGAAGGATGTCTGTTCTCACATGAAAGTGGATGCTTAATAAATCCGTGATTAACTATCTTCTGCATCTCTTCATTTTCCAGTAAATTTCTTATTTCTAACACTGGAGTTCCACTCTCGTGAACTGTTTGGTTGTGTCCCCTTCTTGTTTTACTATTAAAAACATCTCCTCAACTCTTGGAATTAGTTTTTCTGACATTTTCTTCTTTTTCTGAGTTTTCTTCCCTCTTGATTTTGAGGTTTTCAGGTCACTGGGCAAGAAATTTCTGTCACACACCCAGCTCAAATTCTTAGAGTTTTGTGTCTAAAATGCGTGGTGTTTTCAGCAATAGGAACTTACATTGAACTTCTGGGGGACAGCCTATATTGTTTTAGGAGTCTCTTGGAGTCCCTTGATCTTTATTTTCAATAATTAATCTGTGGAGGGTTAACCTATGATAGAGGGAAGGGTCTATTTGTTTCTTAAAGAGATTTTCAACTATTTACCTTGAGGCTAGCATCATTTTCATGCCCCCTCCCAATTTATGCCATCATCTCTGGGTCTTTGTGGCCTTCGGCAGCACTCTGGTTTATGTCCGGGCGCTTCCCAGTTCAGAATTCAGTTCTGAGCTCCGTCTTTTCATGTCTACCAAGACTGGTGCTATCCAACCATGTGCTTCTTTGGCTTTTGTTGGAGTTACTATATCACCATTCTCAGGAGTTCATGCTCAACTCTTTTAATATCACTTTATCTTGAATGTGGCAGGTTTTCTGCTCAATTTGTCACCTTTAAGCAGAAGTATATTATTTACTTCTGTTGGACATTACCTTCTGTTGTCATCAATCACATGGCATTATGATTTTTTTAAATTTCTAGAATTCTCCGAATACTTGTTCTCTTGGAAGTGAAAAATATTTTTTTCTGTGTGTGTTTTAAAAGTTTAGCCCTTGGTGTGGAAGGCTTCACAAATGCTCGTGAAGACTCTCAGTTTGTTGGTTCCCACTCTGAATCTATATTTATGTAATATAAGTCCCTTCTTCTTGTTGGGATGTACTCTCTGGGCCTTTAGAGATCCTGTTCCGGGCCATTTACTTTTCTACTGGATAACATGAGAGGAAGTAGGCCAGGTGGTACATTGAACAAAATACTTATTGGTTTTAGTGTTTACATCTGGGACTGGGCATTTGCGAGGCAAAGCCTCTTAATGGTAAAGTAGGGTTTTCCAACACAAGATGTAAAACAGCAAGGCTGAAAGACAAGGTCTTCTCTCAAGCTGCACTTCTTGTTTCCTGGTCCCTTGCTTTCTGACCGCCTTACATGGTACAATGAGAGCAAGTTCCTTCATCTCTCTGCACCATGTATTGTCTCAAGTGAAATGATAATTGAATTAGGGATATCTTTATAACGGAGTTGTTACATGGATAAGGCATTTTCTAGCAAAGTACTTCACAAATTTTATTTACACAGACTAGTAAGTGGAAAAAAATATCCATAGCAGAGCTCAAGGTAGTTTCTAAAGTAAAAAAAAAATTCTTTTTCTGTTGGTTTCTTTTTTTTTTCCAGCAAAAATATGCCTTAAGTTAGATCTGTGGCTGGAAAAATTTGCCCACATTTAAGCCTTATGATAAGTTGGTTCAAAGCTTTGAAAGTGATACTCCAAGTAACTGAATGAGGCATGTACTCATTTCTCTTATACTAAATGTAAACAGTCTTGGGAGAAGTCAGCAAAATGAGTTGATCAACCTCTAACGATCACCAACAACCCCTGAATACTAAGATCTGTGAAGAAATGGGGGACCAAAATGATGCATATTTATTATTTCCTGGGACATTTTGAAATGAGAGTTACAAGGGACTTTTGAGATGTTAAACAAAAGAGGTATCATGAGTGAAAGATATTAATAGTGTTGTGGGCTTCAGAGAGCAACTATTTCACACTTGTTCTGCATGTGTGAGATGCATCACACTCCCTTGAATAACTAGGTCTATTTTTACAGCAGGATGTTACTAGGTCAGCTCCTGCCTCTCTCATCTTTTCAGATTGGTCATTTTTAAACTCAAACACTTATAAGTCTAGATCTTCACCAGAAACAATTGACCTTCATTTGTTCTAGGACATTCTGAAACCTTAGCCAACTGCATAGGCCCATAATTATATTCAGGCTAGTAACTGTTACCATAGTTAGATCTTATCTGCAAGAGACACTCTAAGAAAGAAAAGTCTTGCTGAGAATTTCCTTACATGCCACACACCAGATATTTCTGGTTTGTCCACTGACTACATATTTAGCTCTTCCCTTTTCTCAGTTTCTTGGGAGTCATTCCTGGCACAGGTAAAACATTTCCAGGTAAACTATATTGGAGAAAAGTGTCCAGGCGCATTCACTCCTCTCGGTACCTGCATCCTTTGTAATATGATGATAGCTGCCTCAGTTAGGAGGTGTATCTTGGAGCTGGAAACACTGCTCAGTTGTATGCATACATGGGGCTCTGGGTGTTATGACTTGAATATGAAATGTGGCCCCACAGACTCATGTATTCAACCCTTGGTCCCTACCTAGTGGTGCTATTTTGCAAGTATTATAAACTTTACATGGCAGGAGATGTTGACAGCAGGGTATGCCTTGGGAAGTTATGCCTAGTTATCACTGTCTTCCACATTATCTGCTTCCTGTCAACTATGAGGTGAATGGCCTCCTCCATTACATATTCCAATTGTTATGTTCCACATAAGCACATAAGACCAAACAAATCATCTGAAACTAAGAGCCTTCTTCTTTTGTGACACTTCTTTCAGCAACTTGGTCACAGGAATAATAAAGCTAACATACTGGCTTTGATCATTATACCATAAACATACACATAAATGAACATGTATACAACACACATATGCATATGTATACACACATGCATTCACATTCATATGTACATGAGTGCACACATGCATACGCATGCACACACACACGGAGAAATGGTGCTGTACCAAACTCTAAGTTTAGGATGAGATTTTTGCTTCAGTCTGTGAACACGTGGCTGGCCACCTGGAGACTGAAGGGCCATGTGGACAAAAGCCAAGTCTGCTCAGTTTTCCCAGACACATGACAAAACTAAGCCAAACTCAGCCAAGTTTCAGTTGCAAGCACATGTGGAGCCAGCCCCTAACTGGAAAACATGCAGAATGATGAATTAACCAAATGCCCACTGCTGCAAGGTACTGAGTGTTGGGATGGTTTGTTAGGCAGCATTGCAGAGGCAATAGATAACCAATACACTGAAGAAGTCAAAGATATAGATCTTTATATATTATGTGGCTGCTGTACTGTTCTCCTACTTCTGAGCAATATACTTTAAAAGCCTGTTAAGTTTTTGTTTTTGTGTATTATCTTAATATAGAACAGGTATTTTATGAAACTGATATTTGAAGGATTTCTTTAAGGGTGGTTTCTATGACCATACTCTGAAATTTTTAACAATAAAATTGAAGGCTAACACCTCAACTCAATTTATACGTGAAAAACTTTATATGGTTGTGGTATTTTGAATAGGTATAGCCCTGATAGACTCACGAGTTTGAATGCTTGGCCATAGGGAGGAGCACTATTAGGCGGTGTGGCCTTGAAGTAGGTGTGGCTTTATTGGAGGAATATGTCACTGTGAGAGTAGGCTTTGAGGTCTCCTATGCTCAAGCTATTCCTGGTGTGGCACAGTCTCCTGCTGCCTGCAGATCAAGATGTTGAACTCTAGCTCTTCCAGCACAATGTCTGTGTGCACACTGTCATGCTTGTTGCCATGATGATAATTACTAAACCTCTGAAACTGTAGGCCAACCCCAATTAAAAGTTTTTCTTTATGAGTTGCTGTCAGGTGTCTCTTCACAGAGATGAATTTCTAACTAACTCAGTGGTAAATGTAGTTATTTATTTCTACTTTTAAAAATGAGGAAACTGAGACTCAGCAAAGTTAGATTCCAAAGTTCTCATAGCTTAAATTACAAAGAACTGGAATTCGTACCCTAAAGCCATGCTCCTAACTATGGCACATGCTGTGCTTGTCATGGAAGAAGGCACAGAGAAACATGTGCATGCCCAGGTATAGAGAATGGCGTCCAACAGGCAGCCTTACCTGAGCCAGAGGCAGAAGAATAGTCATCATCATCAATAGGATATACTCCTGAAGCTTCCTCAATGGAGCTGTTGTCAAGGTACATGTCCTTATCGGATGTCAGCTCTGCTCTCTGCGAAAGGAAAGACAAGCAATTCAGGATGGTCAGATTAAGAAAGACTCTGCTTTGTCTACTGTTCAAATTTTGCATATTTCTGCATTGAAGACCTGACACTCTAAAGCTGTGCTATGCATCCTCATGTCTAGCTACCCTTTACCCCAGACAACGTAGCAACTTATATGAAATCAAAGACTGAAAACACACACACACACACACACACACACACACACACACACACACACTCATTCCCCACCCCCAAGGAAGCTCATATGGCTTAATCTTACAGAATGATGACAGCACAGACAGCCAAGTCTAGCATAGGTTTAGTCCACTCCACTCCACTTACCTGAGTATCTGTTTTCCCAAGTTACTAAACTATCTCAGAATTTGTTCTATCATAAATGAGATTCATTGATGATTAAAGCTAAGCTACAGAATGCCTAAATCATTCAAGACCTTCTTGGAAACATAAAGCAAGATATTATGACACTAGGCTAAGTAATCACCAGGAACCTATCAAGGCACATCTGACACTCACAGGATTGGCCATGCTTGGCTTTCTCACTACAGATAAGTGTTCCCCAGTTGCTGTGGAAGTCCAGAGATTTCTGTACAGACCAGACCCACACTGATACCAGGCAAGGCAACCTGTGTAAAACAGGGCCTGGGGGCTGATCTGCAGTGGCAAAAGCCCATGGCAAGCCTATTTCTCAGGCTTGCTGGCTTAGCGATATTTAATGACAAACACAGATAAACCCACAAGAGTATTTTTTCTTGTATTACTGGCACTTGGTGATAGCAAGTCATAGGCTTGATGTGGAGAGAGATTGAATCACCAAATATCCCATTTCCAGAGCTCCTCAGCCTTTCAATAAGAGGCCACGATTAAAATTCACTCTAATCTTGCCAAAGAAGTAACTTGCATGAACTGCAGACAGAACAGAGATAGAATTTTTTTTTTTTAGGAGTTACAGTAAATTGATATTTTACTACCAGCATCTCAATACTAGCAGCTTTTGGAACAGATGACATTCATTATTGTCCTATTTTTAATGATCAAATTGGATGTTTGTCCGTCACAGAAATTATTAAAAAAAGTTCCCCTTACTATGCTGGTTTCAACTAGATTTCTACTAAAACTAAAACTTGGTTTCAGCAATCAGTATGAGTGAACCTCCCTGGGAAAACTAGCAGGCACACTCTGAACAGTAACACTTTATCTTCTCACATTTCAGGGGCTGGCTAGGCAGAAGGATGTTAAATGTGAGCCCACAATCTCCATAGGCCTTGATGGCCAGGAACAAAGAAAGATGGGAATCACACTGAGAGAGTCAGAGGCCAGAGCCCTTTAGGGATTTGGGTTCCAGCAGGCTGGTTTGCAGGCATGAGGAACACCCTTCCCACAGCAGACAAGAATGTTCTGGAGCTGTCCTGACACACAGTTAGAGGTTTCATCTGTAATCTGAGGCAGTTGTACAAAATACCAATTTCCAAGCCTCTGATCATTCCACATTCTCAAAGCTTTCACACTGAGTAGGGACTTCTGCATACTCTAACCCCATGCATCTGACCCCATTACATTCTCAACACTCCTGTAGGAGAAGGCTGTGCACACAGCCCCCACATTGCTGGGATGCACATTTATACATCCATGGATTCAAACTACCGTAGGTTGAAAAGAATGTGTGTGTGTGTGTGTGTAAATATATGATGGTACTAATGAGTCTGAGGTAGGACAATCACAAGTTTAGGGCAGCCTGGGCTACCTAATAAGACCCTGTTTCAGAATAAATAAGTAAATATAAATTAGAAAATCGGTACTGAGCAGTTACCATAATAAACAATGGCTATTAGCACAGCCATTATAAGTAGCCAGGAGATTACTTAAAGTATACAGGAAAAACCTGGGTATGTGGAACTGTTACTTCATATAAAAAGACTTGTCATTTGTAAATGTTGGTTCACAAGGCATCCTTGTCTCGACAATAGGATTTTCCTGAAAGCCTCCCCACTGCATACTACTAAATCTTAGTGCCTGGAGTACAGTAGGTGCCCAGAAAACACTCCTTTAGTTGAACTAGTTTGTGCTCCCACCTCAAACTGTTGTTGATTCTGCCTGGATTAAACCTTGTCTTTATAAATTGCCCAAGGAACCATCTACCCTGTCAAGGTCTGACTGCTTTTCAAAACGCACTGACTTCTCCAGTCATTTTTCTTGTAAGCCATGAACTTGCTTCTGACTTTGTAGCACACGCACCAGGGAAGACAGAGGTTTGCTGTTAATTGGCTCATGTGGATTCTCCTTGCCTCTGGATGAAGACAAAGTGTCAATACAAGTCTGGAATAACCTGCATAACTTTGTTCTTTGTCCAGCTCAAAGTGCATGAGTACTCAATAAATATTTGTCAACTGCGATTACCAAATCACACTGGCTTAAGCAACCTTTGACTCAGGTTTCAGTAACACACACTGACCGCTAGGATCCTTGTAGTTGTGGAATTCAAGCCCGGGAGGTAACCTGTCCCACACTTCCCACACTTTGCACAGCATCTACTTAAGTGACCCAGGGTCCTTAAAGTAAGATGAAGATTTTTAGAAACCAGTTTCTCTCTCTCTCTCTCTCTCTCTCTCTCTCTCTCTCTCTCTCTCTCT